CGACGGTTATCAGGTTGTTCTTTTCTCTCTGTCGTGAACGGAACCTTTTCTCGAAAATTGTTCTGGATCTGAAGGAAGTCGAACGACTGCTCTTCACGTCTGAATGAAATGTGTTGTCACTGCGCCATTAGTCCTTGTGCTTCAGGTTAGACTGGCAGTGCATCTACTGTGTGCCTCCCTTTCAAGGCAATCTGTTTGTATCATCCATGTTGATGGGTACCAAAGTAAGGGAAGTGTATATGAAGAGGAAAAAATAGTAGGAGAAAAAATGTGGAAAAAACAGTTGAGTTAAGACGTTTCGGTCCACTAAGTCATATACGTCTTAGCTCAACACCACGATTGGACCTCGTCAGTATGACGGTCGCGGTGTTCAGTGATAGGGAGGAAAGGAAGGAATATAAGAGAGAGGAAAAGAGGTGAAAAAGAAAAGGAAGGTGAAAAAGGGAGAGAGAAAAAAAGGAGAAGAAGAAGAGAAGGAATGAAGTTTATTAATTATAAATTTAGAGAGGTTGCGAAAGGTAAAAAAGTAAAAAAGAAAAAAAGATTGTAAGACGAAAGGTACCTCTATGGACGTTCTGTGGCTGGTGATACACCTTTCTTTTCCTCTCTTTTTTGTGGCGGCTTCTTGGCCGGCGTTACGTAGGTTTTCTGCGACACTCTCTGTCGTAACCTCGCTTTTTCCCTTTAGTTTAGTTTCCCATCCAATTGTCCACTCCAATTTCCACATAGTCCCTTTGGGAGACGAAACGATTGTCAGGACTGCCGCCACATTGATCAACAGCGGTTAAAGGAATCAAAAAAAAAATCAGTTGCGGTGTTGATACAGATTTCGCCCATTAACGCAATAGTGAAATTTTTGATGCAGTTCACATCTTTCTTCATTATGCGTTTTGTTGTGCAGCAAAAACGTATGATCGCGCCGGCTCGCCTGGTGCGTTCCAGCCTGGGTTGAAAAAATGCAAATCTTCAGTTCACTAAAGAGTGGAAGTATTGCTCGAGCGGTCGTTTGTCAAAAAATGCACGTGCTACTACAGTAAGCAACTTAGTCGATAGCGCACCGACTGCTGGTGCGAGGATGCGTTTTTTGCGCAGTTCCTCCGCAAGTTTTTATCGCTAATGGCACTGTTTTTCCAGCAGATACTTCTAGCCAAGAAAATTGAGAATAGCGATCACGATTGTTAGAAATTATTACGACGATTTCCAATCCATGTTCAAAAAAATTCAGTACTCTGGATGCTCCGATTGCAGAGTTACGTCAAATTTTAAATGTCTGTACGCAGTTGGCAACATGAATGCTATTTTCGCGTGGACTTGCTCAAACACGGTCCTAAAAGGCGCTCAGAAAGTTTCAGCATTCCAGCTGCTCCGATTGCGGAGTTACGCCGAATTTCACATGTTCGTACGTGAGGGTTTGCGTGAGTGCTATCTTCGCGTGCGTTTACTCAAACAATTTCCTGGGTCACGCTCTTTGGCAAGAAACAATTTCACGAACCAGACAAATTAGAAAGATGTAACTTTACAGAGACATTTTCTGTGTATGTATGAGCTAAAGATTTCAAATTCAGTCATCGCGCACGCTTACAGCGTGCGTACGGTTGCGTCAAAGTTCGTAGTTAGATGGAAAATAGTAGCCGAAACTTTATCAGAGTATTTAGCATACAAAGGGAAGCCATCTGTCTAAACTGAGTTTCGATTTGCACTTGCGCCGCCACTTAGGGCACTTCAAAGATATTTGTAGCGAAGTGGCTATTCCGCTTACTAG